TCACCTCAAAACAAAACAAGAAAAAATCATAGAAAACATGCAACACATAAAAAAAAAGAAAGCACACGGCCACATGTCCACACTGATGTGGTCTCTAAGAAGTAGATKTCTAAGCAGAGTGTATTTAAAGAAAATTAAAAGATTCTATTGTGGTATTTCTCTGGGGAAAATATTTGTAAATAAAGTTAAATATTTTTGAAAAGGACAAAACATTATAAAGAATTAGTTCTATAGCACCTATCTCCTTAACAAGTCAAACATTCTGATAACCAGTGGCTGAAAACCAGTGGTGTGACACAACAAAGGCCAGATTGTGACAGCTGTTCTGTTTGCAGGTTCTTCAGAGCATCAAAGAGGTGAACGAGAACTCCTCCGTCCACGGCCTCATCGTGCAGCTGCCTTTAGACTCAGTCCACAAGATCGACACCCAGAAGGTCACGAACTCTGTGGCACCGGAGAAAGACGTAGACGGGTGAGAACTCACGGAAGCTTGAACTTGTATTTTTTAGTGAGTTTTGTTTAGCTCTTTCTGATCTTAAACCACTTCCAGACTGACCAGCACCAATGCAGGGAAGCTGTCCCGCGGTGACCWGGGCGACTGCTTCATCCCCTGCACCCCAAACGGCTGCATGGAGCTGATCAGACAGACAGGTGAGCGCTACACCGAATCCCCTCAAACCGTGCCGTTGAGTTGAAGCTGTGGAACCAAACGGACTGTGAGAACACAGCGTACGATGCGCTCGCTGCCTCTCCGCAGGCGTGACCGTGGCGGGGAAGAGAGCGGTGGTGATGGGTCGCAGTAAGATTGTTGGCGCGCCGATGCACGACCTGCTTCTGTGGAGCCACGCGACGGTGACCACCTGCCACTCTAAAACTGCAGATCTTGCTGGAGAGGTACACAGGTCAACGTAATCACGCTTACAGAAGAAAATAGTAGATCCCTCCCCCATTTTTACAAATATTTTCTGCATCGGCTGTGTTCAAATTCAGGGGATGCATCCTTCAAAGGTCAAATTTGTTGACCGATTAGCCGAAGGCTGTCCAAATTTAATCTTTTCCTACCTCTTATTTTATCTTTTTTAATGTTCTGATTTATTTGCTATGGTTATTGTTTACATTTTTCTTATTTTATCTTACATTTTTATTCATTTTATACCTCTTATTTTACCTTTTTTTAATGTTCTGATTATTTGCACTATGGGAGCTGCAAAATTATTTCGTCATTGTGGACCGCAGTGTTCGTTTCAGTGCAACATTGACAATAAAGATTTGTCTATGTATTTAAATTTGAAGGCTCTTCAAATTGCGGCCCACAAGRGCGTCCTCCTTTTGCTCCAGGTTGAGGGACGGGTCCCATTGATCCTGTGGTTTTTTGGGGGAGGGAGTTTTTTTTGCTTGTATCAGGGTACAAAACAAGAGTCAGGAGTACGGGTTTAAAAAAAATCTGGCAGAACAAAAATTGAAAGTTTAAARCGATTGTGTTGTTGGGCCTTTGTCATTTGCAGTGATATGTTTTTAATATTACACTTGTCAGAAATCATGGTAAACGAGCTCGTATGGCAGATCTTTTAAAACTTTGARCATTGCCTCTACGCTAATTTAGTTAATTAGTAATTGACTGGTTTATTCAACAGACTCATGGTCCACATTGACATAAAAAAGACAAAACAAACATGATACATAACAACAAAAAAGGAAAAAAACTTATAAAAGACTTGCATACCAGTATTTCCGCAAAGATGACTGGTAGCATAATGCACGCCCAGAAGGATGTGACATTAAAATAAGACTGTTCTTAGATTTACGCAAACGACACATAAATTTATATATTAAATTTCTCATAAGTGCCTGAACTGTCTTGACATGTGCGTTACTAAACATCTCACTTGCACTACTGAGTCTGGGATTTTAAGCAGAACTCTGAGTCATTATAAGCAACTTTAAACTTCTGCATACTAGCTTTTTTAAATTTACACCACAAGAGGGCAGTATACAGAGATGTACAGTAAGATTTAAATAAACATCTTTACAATAATATTAACAGGAGTAATATTTTGCTAATTTCTGTCCATTTTTGATCTTCGTTGCTTCTGTTTGGTGCCGTCGCAGTCACTAGGTGACAGGAAATACGCCGGGGTAAGGGCAGGAATAAAGCTGAAAGCTAGTCCGTTTAAATTCACAACCTACTTTCATTGGTCTTCGGTTTACCAAAGACCCAACCCATGTAGACCAGCAGAGCTCTATAAAGTACTTGGGGGGGAAAAAAGTAAGTAAAATTACATGAACAGAAAAAGACTTTGGTAAAACTAAATTTCACTGCTGAGAAAGCTACTCAAGTAAAAGTCATAAAACTGTTCACAAACATTGGGAAAGTAAAAGTAGTTTTACACACTCTCTAAGAAATAAACTGCTGAATTTACTGAACCAACCTGGTTCCACTGAACCAGTTTGAGTAAACGGAGCAATATATGTGTATTCTTTGCTCAATTTACTCAACTAGGCTTAGTGGAGCCAGTTGACAGGACTTTGTTGAGTAAATTCAAYACTAGGGCTGCCACGATTAGTCGATTAATCAACGACTAATCGATTATTAAAATAATCGGTGACTAATTTAATAATCGATTAATCGTTTTTTGGGTTTTTTTTATTCTTTACTTTGTTTTTGTCTTCAAACTGCTTTGACACCTTCCACTGCCACGTCTGCCTTTCTGTCCTTGACACACATGCACAGTAGTGGTAACTGGGGTAGGCCGTGGACGTCACAAGACATTATACAGACAGGCTCTGGTATCAACCCAGCAATGGAGCTCAAGTGTGGGATCGTTTTAAGAAAATGAAAGAGAAACCTGTGCAATATCTGTAAGGTAGAACTTGCCTTCCACAGCAATTATTTTTAGTTAGCATAAAGCTAAAATCTAACGATGGTTATATGATAGCAGATGCATTCTGGCGCGATAAGCTCTATGTTTTATATTCAATTAACGTATGAACTGATTAGTCGACTAATCGAAAAAATAATTGGTGATTAATCGATTATAAAAATAATCGTTTGTGGCAGCTCTATTCAACACTTCATTTTTTAGAGTGAATAAACATCTTTTATGATGAGTTCCAACATATTTAATTTTGTAACGAGTAACAAGATGTTACATTTTAAAGTAGAAGTAAAAGTATAAGTTTTAGCTTTAAAATCTAACGAAATAAAAGTAAAAGTACTTATTAAAAAATAATTGGTAAAATTTACAAATCCTCAAAAAACTACTTAAGTACTGTAAGAAGTGAATGTACTTAGTTGCTGTAAACCTCTGTAGAACAGGTAGACCGGGTCCTTCGAAGGACCAGCCCCTGTATTTGGTCACAGCCGTCATTTTGATGAAGACAAAGCAGGAAGATCCGCTGTTTGCTGCTGTTTTTTTTTTTTCCAGCTCATGTCTCTGTTCTGGTCCAGGTGAGCAAAGCAGACATCCTGGTTGTCGGTATTGGAAAAGCAGAGATGGTGAAAGGAGAGTGGATCAAGAAGGGGGCGGTGGTCATCGACTGTGGCATCAATACCATCACAGGTATGGGCGCGGCCGGCGTGGTCTGGACCCGCTGTGAGTCGGGAGAAGTCACGCTTGGTTGTTGTTCCTTCAGATGAGACGAAGCCCAGCGGGAAGCGGGTGGTGGGTGACGTCCACTTCGCCTCGGCCAAGGAGCAGGCGGGCTTCATCACCCCGGTGCCGGGCGGAGTGGGACCCATGACCGTAGCCATGCTGATGGCGGTGAGGTTTATATGTTGATCTGTTTTGTTTCCTGAAAGAAATGTCGTGGTTGAAAGTTTAATATTTGTTTAGAATACAGTGCTGAGCGCAAAACGTTTCCTGGACAGCCATCAGCCTGGGAAGTGGGACATTTCTTACACCAAGCTCCACCTCCAGAAGCCCGTGCCAAGGTTTGTGCCTTTATTTACTATATATGTGTTTCGACGCAAAAATTCAGTAAGAAATCCTTTGTTTATCTAAATTTATCTTAATTCTGCTGTTCTTTTATTATTTTTATTTTATTTTCAACAGCGACATTGTGATTTCTCGCTCCTGCGTGCCCAAGCCCATCGACCTTCTGGCCAGGGAGGTGGGCTTGCTTCCTGACGAGGTGGAGCTGTACGGCAAGACCAAGGCCAAGGTGCAGCTGAGCATCATCAAACGGCTGCAGTCGCAGCCGGACGGCAAATATGTGGTGGTAACGGGGTACGTCCCGGCAGCTGGAGAACACACAATCATCCCTGTAGTTAGGCAAAGACTTCTTACACAACTTGGGCTGATGTGTTGTTTAATTCTGCCTGCAGCATCACRCCCACTCCTCTGGGTGAAGGTAAGAGCACCACCACCATCGGCTTGGTTCAGGCCATGGGAGCCCACATGAAGCTCAATGCCTTCGCTTGTGTTCGACAGCCCTCCCAGGGACCCACCTTTGGCATTAAAGGTTAGACCCTTTTTTGTTATGACACTAACGGGACATTAATGTAGCATTAAGAGACCCCGCCCCCTCATAGATCATAGAGTTAATTATCACTAGACTGAGCTCTGTCTAACCTGTTAGCTTCTGTGATGACATGGAGGAGCAGAAATGTTAGCTCACAGCCTTCATAACAACTATTAGATTAACCAACTGGATCTGTGTAACATTATCTTTTTATTAATATGATTATTAATTGTTATTTCATTCAGTGATCATGTAAAACAGCTAGATTTATACYAGAACATATAAAAAATGATCTAAACCAGACCTGAAGTTAGTCAGTAACTTAGACTTTTTAACTATTAGAAAAATTATGACTTCATCTATTAATACAGTATATTTTTAATCATAAATGATAATAATTATTTACCAATCAACACTTAGTAAATGTTTGTTACAAACCAGTGATACTTTAAAGGAGACACATCATGCATTAAAATCCTTATTTTTCAYATTTAACTCATTCATTTGGGTCTATATAAAGTGGAACTGCAATGCTTTGATCTGAATTCCTCATTAGCTACGTTTACATGGACAYAAGTAATCGGAACGGCCATTCAGAATAAAAATGCATCATGTAAAACCTCCATTCAAGTTATTCTGACCCGATTCAGCTCGATCCGAATGAATACGTAATGCTGCGTTCACACTGAACGCGATTTCATCGTCTGAATCACGTCCAATGCTTCAAGTTGGACACTTTTGTATTTTTTTGCACGTTTGTATTTTTTATTGCACATAGAATTACTTTTTTTTTTTTTTTAAGAAATGAAAAATTTTGGAAAAAAATTGCTATTGAAGCGCGAGCCTCCCCGCCCCYTCCCTCTCTCTGCTGCTTTCTCCTCCTCTGCCGGTCTCTGTTTAATGTCGGATGAAATAAAGAAAGTGGCTTTGCTTTATTTATTGAGTGCAAGAGAACATCGCGCTTATCAGATAATTAATTCATAATTAATTCACCAGATAATTCAGAGACGTTCTGAGTTTGGTGAGTTTCATCACCCAGGATCTGCGAGCTGACTCGAGTCCAGTTTGATGAGCCGTTGACCTGCATTTATGCTGATGTCTTCTGCCGAGACACAGACTACAGGCACTGTTTGTCTGTCTCAGGTTAGTGGACATCATTCAGGAAACTGTCCCGTCGGATAGTCTGTAATTACGTCACACAGTGGAGTCCCTCTGATTGGTTGACGTGGCGCGTCGAGCTGCAAAAGTTCAGATATTACTGCTCCAGTGTCTGGCTATGAAAAGCGCGTCGAACGCTCAAATCACGCCGCTCTCATCGCACTTGACACGCCGCAGCACTTCTTGACACGCGTCCACCGTAGACTTTACTTGTAAACCTGACGCTGAAGTCACGTTTGGTGTGAATGCAGCATAATCGGAATGGGAGGGGTGGTTTATGCCGATTGATAATCCGAACAGCGTGCGTGTAAAGACTTAATCCGATCATCTTATTCTGATTGTGGAAAACTGACCTGACTGCGCATTTCTGCTGACTTTCAGCCAGCGGTTTCTGCTCTTTTGAGGAGGGAGGGACAGCAGYACAGAACTTTTCCTCTCGTTCTCTCATTCAGTGAAGAAGGAAGACACACAGCATTATTAAAACCTGTCGCGGGTCCATTCTGAGCGCTCAGAAGACGTTTGTTTATGTTCATCATGGAAGAAGATTTTTTTTTCTGTGTTTTTTATTTTTAATTTTTTTTTTCAGGGAAAGTTACAACTGCGCACGTCAGTGCTTCTATTCTGAATAAAAGCCTGGTGCATGTAAACACTCATCGTGATCTGATTGTGCGCATGTAAACGATACATTCGGATTATTTAATCCGAATGCATTTCAATCCCATCAAATAATTTTGCGCATGTAAACATAGCTGGTGTAACTCCACAAACCTCTTTTTCACCCTTTTTTTCTGAGGCGTGTGCCTCTCTCCAGCTTCCATTCTAGTTTAATAGAGGGGTTTACGACTRTACAACAGCGCAGAAACATTTTATTTACAAATTAATTAAAATATGTCACCAAGGGAAGACTTGTCCATCCAGACTTATATGTTGGAGCCAGAGTCTGACCCAGAGCCAGAGGAGAGTGAAGACCACCAAATTATAGTTAAGTCCAGACTTTATTTGGAAGTTTTGTCGCAAATAAGTTGATTTAATAGTTTAGAAAACGTCATAGAAAATAGAGAAAACTGAACAAGTTGGAAAATCCGACCCAAACAGAATATAAAGATATCTAAGCAGCACCAGGAGAGACTAAATAAAAAAATACTTCACTGCTAGAGACTCCAGGTACACAACAAAATGTATTTAACAGCTAAATAAGTGGATTTTGCATGATATATCCTCTTTAAATTAATAAACTTGTCTCTACTGCTATTGGCTAACCATCGTTTCAACAGGTTTGTCTTATAGAAACCTAAAAATAGTTAAATATATAATTATTGTTCCATAAATCTGAGGTAATGCAAGTTTGTAATATTCAGTGATTTGTGTATTTTTGCTCCAAAAGCTAATATCTGCTAGCCAGTTCAATAATTAATAGTGGTTAAATCGGCTTTATAAGCTTCAGTTCTGCTCAGATCACATCCACATCCAGGTAAACAAAATAAAATCTGTTTCTCTTCAGTTGGTAAATCCATAAACCACACAACTTTCTGCCATTTTTATATACATTACAAAGCTTATATACTCTAATAATAATGTGTTTTTTTTATAATCATTAAAAGTTTTTACAATCATCCCTTTATTGTTTGCTATGTTGCCTTTATGTACAGTAATGTAAATACTGACTCTTCATGTGGTCAAGACCCCCTCCAGCTGTTTTCTAGACCTCCACGCCTCTGACCTAAAGTTGAATCTGTTCTAAAAGTCGTCATTATTTGTCTCGTCACTAGGAGGCGCTGCAGGCGGCGGCTATTCTCAAGTCATTCCAATGGAAGAGGTACCGCTCTGCCCTCCATAAAGGTTGTGTTTTTTTATGAGGAAAAAGTGTGTCTTTTTGTTAACCCTGTTTTTTTATGTGGCTGCAGTTCAACCTCCATCTGACTGGTGACATTCACGCCATCACAGCTGCCAACAACTTGGTGGCCGCCGCCATCGACGCTCGCATATTCCACGAGGCCACGCAGTCCGACAAGGTGGGCTCTCTCTTCTGTAGGTGGAGGGCCGAACATCCCCACAGTTCAGATTCATTCAGGTTTTCCTTCTGTTTTCCTGCTGCGYGCTCGCTCAGGCTCTGTATAACCGCTTGGTCCCAGTCAGTGGAGGAAAGAGGACGTTCTCCCCAATCCAGCTCTGCAGATTGAAAGTAATAAACCCTATTGCTTTTGTTTTGTTTAAATTCTTGCACAGAGCTGTACTTATCTTTTAAAAATTTGTCTAGAAACTGGGGATAGAGAAGACCGATCCTTCCACTCTAACAGATGAGGAAATTACCCGCTTTGCCCGCCTGGACATGAACCCAAGCTCTGTTACCTGGCAGAGAGGTAAGAGCTTCTGGTGTGCTACTCTGTAGGATCGTTCAGTTACTGAATATTGAGCCTCGTGTAAAAATAGCCATACTTTGTTTTTTTTATGTCAGTTTTGGACACAAATGATCGATTCTTGAGGAAAATCACCATCGGACAGTCGCCGACTGAGAAGGGACACACAAGAGAGGTGGGACTAAAATATCTGTACGTTTTGATACCGCTGAGTCAGCACAGTTTTTGTGTTTATTTCTCTTTGTACACTTTCTCTGGCTACTTCTGCAAACTTTGTTCTATTTTAGTCATTCATACATGGAAATGTTCATCTCTGTTTTCTGCTTTCTGTAGCTTTTATGTTTTTCAAATATTAATTTTATTTACAAATATTTTCCCTACAGAAATACATTGAGCTCTCTCCAATTTCACTATAAACATTGTTTGTGTCTTCCTATGCTAATTTAGTTTTTAGCTACTGTTCTGCTACTTTTAGCCTCTAACTAACCTTTTGCTACATTTAGCTTTTAGTTAGTCCTTTGCTTAATTTGTCTAACCTTTTGCTGCTTTTAACTTTTAGCTAGTATTTTTCTGTTTTTACTTGTGTGAATGTTTTATCAAGAATTCAAACTGTCATTACTTCAGTACATTTTTCAGCACGTGTCTTGTTCCACACATTTAGTGCTATTTCAACAATTTATACATCAAATTATTCAGCTCTTTCAAGACATTCTGGCTTTGACTTTTGGTACTTCAGCAGTTTAAACTTTTTGAGATATTTAGCTTTTTCTGCCATTTTTTTCTCATTGAGGGTTTTAAGGATGTTGAAGACAGCTCCATGCATTTTCAATGTTCATAAACTTCAGCTGCACTTTTTACCTTTTTTGTTCTAGCTCTGTTTTTGTTAGCTTCTTTGGGCTAATTTCAGCTCCCATTTGTGTCTGTTTTTGTTAATTTTTTTAAGCTATCATTATGAACTTTTGTGCTATTCTCCTGCTAATTTAAACTTTTTGTGCTTCTTTTGGCTGCTTTCTGCTAATTTAAGCTGTTTTTTTTAGCTACTTTTAAGCTGATTTCATCTAGTTTGAGCTTTTTTTTAAGCTAAATTCACATTTTTGTTATTTGTACTTCTTTCTGTTAGCAATCACTCTCTTTCTGTTTTATTTTTGAGATAATTTTAGCTATTTCAGCTATTTTTAGCTATTTTTATGTGGTTTCAGCTTGTTTAGTTATTTCAAAACAAATTGTAAGTTCTTGTTTTTTGCTGATTTGATTTCTACATCTGATTTTATCTTGTTTAATCTACCTTTTTTTGCTAATTTCAGCTGTCTGTCTTCTGATTTTTCACTCGTGGTGTTCTTTCATCAAAAATCAGTTGTTCAAATTTAACTCAGAATAATATTTTTGCTTTTGAACCTTTTCAACTTTCATCAAAAATCTCTCAGCATTGAATATTCACACTGCATTTTCACAGGAAATGCAGTCTCTATTTTTTAGTTAGCTTTTTGCTACTTTGAGCTAATATTTTGGTCTCTTTAGCTTTTTAGCTTGTCTAGCGGTGTGCTTCTTTTAGCTTGTGTTCTTTCAGTTTCAGTCTTTTAGAAAATGTGATTTCTCTAGTTTCATTTCTAATGCAGCTGGATGTAAATACACCTGCAACATTTCAAAAAAATTCAACATCTTCCTTTAGATGCTGATGTCAGTTTGTCCCCTCAGGCCCAGTTTGACATCACAGTGGCGAGCGAGATCATGGCCGTCCTCGCCCTCACCAGCAGCCTCCAGGACATGCGACAGCGCCTGGCCAAGATGGTTGTAGCCACCAGCCGAGGCGGAGAGCCCATCACCACCGAGGACCTGGTCAGAGCGTGCTCCGTGACGCTCGGTGTGCAGCTCTGTTTGTTTCGTTGTAAAAACGTTTTATTTCCTCTGCAGGGCGTGAGCGGAGCCCTGACTGTGCTGATGAAAGATGCCATCAAGCCAAACCTGATGCAGACGCTGGAGGTGAGCGTTAAAACAGATAAAAAACTTCAATTTAAATGTTTTTTTTTTGGTTATTTTAATTTCTGAATTCACAGGGAACGCCTGTGTTCGTTCACGCCGGCCCTTTTGCAAACATCGCTCACGGAAACTCGTCCATTCTGGCTGATAAAATCGCCCTGAAGCTGGTCGGACCCGAGGGCTTTGTGGGTAAGAAGATGGCACAAAGAAGTTCCCTTTAAAAAAAAAATCAGTTCCTAACCCTGACGTCTCACAACCTCTGTGTGTGTCTGACAGTGACGGAGGCCGGGTTCGGTGCCGACATCGGCATGGAGAAGTTCTTTAACATCAAGTGCCGCTACTCGGGCCTGAGGCCCCACGTGGTGGTTCTGGTGGCGACAGTTCGGGCTCTGAAGATGCACGGTGGAGGACCAACGGTGAGTAAAGTTAATCTGAGGGAGTTGTTGTGTTTTTAAAAGCTATTTGCTCAAACATTTCTTGTGTTCAGGTCACTGCTGGGATGCCACTGCCTAAGGAATATGTGGAGGAGGTAAAGCAGAAAAACAACCAACTTTAATYATGTTCTCACACCAAATTTCAGTTCATATATACGTATATTATAGGCTAAATTGTTTGCAGCCTTTGGTTCATGTCTACATACCCGAAACGACAGAACGTTTTAATGTTTTTTGTCTCTGTTTGCAGAACCTGGAGCTGCTGAAAAATGGCTGCAGCAACATGAAGAAACAGATAGAAAATGCCAAACACTTTGGTGTGCCGGTGGTGGTGGCTGTCAATGCTTTCATGTGAGTGATTTTAAAGATCATATTAAAAAAAACATTAAATTAATTAACTAAACCTCAGTGTTGATGTGTTTTCTGTTTGTTTTCGTGCTGACTGACAGGACGGACACAGAGGCTGAACTGGACTTGGTCTGCAGCCTGGCCAAAGGTTCCGGAGCTTTTGATGCGGTCCGATGCTTCCACTGGGCTGAAGGTGGAGCCGGCGCCGTGGCCCTCGGTCAGGCCGTCCAGAGGGCCAGCGAGGCCCCCAGCAGCTTTAAATTCCTTTATGATTTAGAGGTATAAACTCTTATCTAAGTTATTGTGATTTAACTTCTTTTTTTACTTTTTAATTTTTTAAACAAATTTCTCTTTAGCTTCCTGTTGCTGACAAGATTCGGATAATCGCTCAGAAGATCTATGGAGCCGATGATATTGAGCTTCTTCCTGAAGCCCAACACAAGGTGGAGCTGTACACCAAACAGGTGAGCAGTGCCTCACAGTGGACTCTAAAGTCTGTTTCTTTGCTCAGAGTCACTGCAAATGGAGATTCGTTTATAAAAACACCATTTTTTTGTGTGTTTTCCTGCAGGGCTTTGGTAACCTTCCGATCTGCATGGCCAAGACACACTTGTCTCTGTCTCATGAGGCAGAGAAGAAAGGCGTGCCCACCGGTTTTGTGCTGCCGATTAGAGACATCCGAGCCAGTGTGGGCGCTGGTTTCCTCTTCCCGCTGGTTGGAACCGTAAGCTCTAAACAAACTTTTATTTACTTATTAAATTTGTTACTAACTTTGGAACATATAAAAGACCTAAAATATGTATCCAAACGGTGGGTCAGAAGATATTTTGCTAACAGACAAACACGCCAAATAAGTCTCAAAAATCTTTTGGATCTGTTTAGTGCTTGGAGTATGTTTTGTACAGTGGTGGGCACGGCTAACCAAGAAGTTAGCTTCACTAACCACTAATCCATTAAACAAGAATCTTAGCTATGCTAACGCTAAACGGCTAAACTGATTACAAAATTATTGGAAGCTAACGCTAACCGCTAAGACGACTGTCATCCAGCCTGTGTCTTGGTGGGACTGATGCAAACTTGGTTTAATTTTAAGGTAGCAAATTGGCCAATCCAAACCACAGTTATATCTCTAACTTACTTCCAGTTTAACCCTTTTAGGAATAAAAGCTTTTCCTTTGATCAAGTTTGTATTTTTACAAATACTGTTTGAAGTTGGTCAAACAGCAAATGCTTTCTCTACGATATTTTAAACGTAGTCATTTTTCGTTATTTAAGTATTGTTAAATTTTGTTTAATTCCTTTTTGATACTCTTAGTTTGAAGTTTAGCTGCTAAGGATGCTACATGCTAACACACTTGTTGCCTGACACGTCCAGCGCTGCTTGTAAGAGGGGATGGTTTTTATTTTATTCATGACAAACAACAAATAAATAGAAGTGTTTTAAACGTGTGATTGTTTTTAGTAGAGTTAAAATTAGCAGAACCTAATTTAGTGGTAGCTAATCGGTCCACAAGCTGTTTCCAAGTTAGCGTTAAAGCTAATCTGCTAAGTGAGAAGCTAGTTCTGCTATTACTGGATTAGCATAACTGTGCCCGCCACTGGTTCTGGATCAGTCTCAGCTATTACCAAACAATTTTAGCCCAGTATCTGTGCGACTGTTTCTGCGTTGGCCAATACTGGTTAGCTGTGGCGGCCATCTTGAATCGGGTTGACTCCACAGGTCCAAGGWTTACTTTCTGAGAGCTTCAGTAGAATCTCTCCCGTGGTTCATTGAATATCACACTGCAGGTGATATTTCCTGCTGAGGTTTCTGATGCAGCTGTTTTGTTCAGATGCCCACAATCCCCGGTCTGCCCACCCGACCCTGTTTCTACGACATCGACCTGGACCCTGAGACTGAGCAGGTCAGCGGGCTCTTCTAAAGGAACCTCCTCTGCTCTGGTTGGTGGTACTAAAGGTATGAGGAATAAAATGCACACATCTGGTTTAATGAAAGATGTTGGTAAGAGATAATTATAAAAATGTTCCTCTTTGCTTCCTGTTCTCTCCAGACTAAACATTCCTGACGACCCCCCCCCCCCACACACACACACACACACACACACACACACACACTGGACGAGTTCTGACTGGAGGTGCCTCGAGTTGCTGCTGCTCGCGTGTAAAGATGTGCTTTTCCACGAAAGCTGTGAGACAATGAGTCCAGAACCAGTCCAGACAACAGTCTTTGTTGTCTGAGACGAGCCGTTCTGCTGAAATCACAAACTCCTCCGTTAAATTTCTGACTTATTTTCAAAGATAACTTTTTAAACAACTACTGTGAATTTTTATTAGCACCACACTAGAGAATTAATCTTTTGTTGATTTTCCCTTTAACACTAAATCCTGACATACATGTAACAACGTGTAACAAAGGGATTTTTGATCGTTTTGCACCTCTTGTAAGTTTTTTTAATGAAATTTACAGCTGCTTTAAATCTAAATAGACATCAGGTTTTACATTGCTACTTATCAGTTAAAGAGATCAAATAAAGACTAAATGTTTGTTTTTTGGAGTCATTTTTTGTCTGTGATTTTATTTTCTGAACACTCATATTTCTGCAAGTTGARTATCAGTTCTCAATTTTTATGTTAAAACTAAATAGATCATTATCCCCAAAAAGGCTTATTTAGTTCATGTTTCCTTACATCAGTTGTATATCTGTGTTTAACGCTATAGATGAGGTTGCACGTGCATATAAGTGTTTTATTACCTGAAATCAGAAAATATTTTAATAGTGTGGATAAAGAGTCTGCACAAATGCTTTCAAAGTGCCTGTGACATCAGTTTTTTTTTGTAATAAACATGAATGCATTTTTGGAAAGGGAATATTGATAAAATATTGCAAAAGAAATGTCACGTCGCTGAGATGAACAGTTGTTGAGATATTTGCGTGTGAAGAAACAGGAAGTGATGTCAAAGGGGAATGTGCATGTGAGCAGAGCATTGCTACAACAGCCAACAACAGAGACTGTGGAGAAGAATCTGATGTTTCTTTAGATTATTTTGAGTTTAAATAATTTTGTTTTAATAAACAAAAACCAGAGTTTATTTTATTAAAGAGTTCCCCTTTGATGTCACTTCCTGTTTCACTTTGTCTGAGCCAAATCCAAAAGAAAATAGTCCAGTTATGAGACAAAATGTGTAAAATCATGTGTATTATGCTAATTTTCTTAAGTATAAAAAAGTTTTGTTTGACTTTTTGTATTTGAAAGATAGGTGTGTCACAGGCACTTTAAGTGACAAGGAAAAAAAGGTAATTTAAAAAAAGACTGGATTCAGCTGATAATAAAAGTAACAAAATTAATTAAAAACAGACTTCCTGTAATAAAAACTGCTACAGAATATWAAAACTAAAGGTCTGGGGAGGAGAAGGAATGCAAAGGAGCACATATTTTCTTCAAAACTCATCTTCTGATGAGAAATGATCAGAGTTGTAGCCACTTTGGTCTGACTTTGCAAATATCGTTCAGCACAATCTTGAGATATTTTGGTAACAAACAAAGACATCATCACCTGCAGAAAGTGATGATGTCTACTGGAATCCAGATGCGTTTCTAAAACATCACACTTCAAGAAAAATTCATCGCACAAACCTGTATCTTGCAGCTTTTGCTACATTGTTACAGCCAACGAAACAAACCTTAGTTACACTGTTTGTTATGTCAGAATATAACCAGGTTGTGTTTGAGCTGAAGAATGTGGGTGTGGTTGTGCAGCTCTGTTGTCAAACCAGAGCTCATGATGACTAGAAGAGCTGAGAAAACTGAGTTACAACTCCAAAAAATATTTTGTTTATGATCTGCTGAAGGGCTCGAGGGCAGGGCAGATAAAAACAAACAGCCGCAAAGCCCGAAGCTGTCATTTAATAACAAACATTTTAGTGTAAATCTGGATTTAAAAAAAGAGTGTACTGCTATTATTGTTAAAACTTTATTTTACCAGGAAAAATCCCTGAGATAAATGAAAAAGCTCTTTTTCAAGGGAGTTCTGGCCAAGCAGTAAGTACATTTAAGTTATATAGTTACACAAAAAATTACCAAAAGGAAATAATATGAAACATATTRCAGCAAAATTAACAACATATATGGAATTAAGCACAATTCTCTATTGATTTAAAAGCTCTTAAAGATATTAAGTCTGTTGATTTTCCAAACGTGCAAAAGGTGCAATAAAAGCAAAAGCCCTTTYACTCATTTCTGTACGTAAAAACAAACCACGTTTTGAAAAACCTGTAAGGAATACCACATTATGAAGCACGAAGGTGGAGAGGTGATGGTTTGGTCTTGTCTGTGCAGTCAGGTGAACTGTTGGGATGAAGGTGCATGAGCTCACAGGACATGAATCTGTCAGGACATGATAGCTTTAAAAGAATGTTTTCCTGCAATTAAAGCRTTTTTCTTTTAGGAGGTTCTCACGAATCTCACTCTGCCTGTGCTGCAGCGACGTGTTTCTGCATTGACCGAGTGTCAAACTGGACTTGCTGCAGCTCTCGCAGTGTTTTTAAAGATTTGGCAAAAGGAACAACATTTATTGTTAATAAAAATTGTCCTGCTTTTACTTGCAGTTGACTGTTTGTACGCAAGCAGGGCTGGACCGAGACACTGGTTGTGTCACGCCTCTTCACTCAGAAAGAAATCTGAAAAATCCAGTCAGGTTGAAAGAAAAATATTGTTGTGTGTGTTCGTTTACCAGTTTGTGTGCTTGAACCATACAGAGAACGTACCAGTGCATGGAAAAGATTAATAAAGGGAGATCATACAAAACCCAGACCAAGCAGTCAGACTGAAAACCAGGAAGAGAAGACATGGCTCCGCCTATTTGATTACGTCATCGGGGAGGGGTCCCTACAGCTGCTCGAAGCCATGTCTCCAGACAAACATAATCTAGCCTGATGAAGATTTAAAAGTTCAGATATGTGTTGAATTTGTTTTCAGGCATGTATCTATCTATATAAAATCATCACGTTAAGCAAAACAGTCACATTTAACAACATTTACAGTTCTTCTATCATAAGACTATATCATGTGTATGTAATTAAAAGTCAGTATATAACCTAAACCCCAATAAATTTCTTCAAGGTGATCTGAACACATGAGGTCACCCTGATGTCTCTGTTTTACCCTCCAAAGCAATTTGCTGGTTTTTGTTCTGATTTTATAATCTTGTCAAAGTTTAGTCTCCGAGACGTGGGTTCGGACTCATTGAGGGCAATAACTGATCTGCACAAACTTGATTTCACTAATGATGTCATCATGTAATCGTTTGTTTACATGTGTGGTCGTCCATTAATCAGTCTGAGATGCAGACAAAAAAAGAAAAACTGGTTGGATCAGGCATTAGCTGTTCAGTTTTAAATGGGGTTTGTTTCGTTTCAGGATTATTTCTTAACGTTAAACCGAAATCACAACAATCCAGAGTTGAAATCTGGAAGCAGAATGACTGTTTGACAGTTTTATCTACTGTTATTCAAAAAGGAAATCATGAGGATAAGATTAATAAAAGCATTGGAACGCGAGAGCAGTTGGTTTAATCAAGCTGCTCAAACCTGCTGAATGTGACCTAATCTGTTAATCTAATCTGTACACAGATGTGGATACATTTGTTCTTATCCTTCAATCCAGTGCTTTGTTCTAAGCCATTGGTTACTTTTATCTGAGTTTTGTGTCATTAACCTGTTTTTTGCAACTGAGACCAAGCTTTCTGGCACTGGGCATCACATTTTGCATTCAAAATGCCTTGCCGGTCTTGAAATTTCATTGTATTCTGCACAGATTCAAAACACCAAGTTTCACATGCAGCAAAGCAGGATGTAACTGATCCTGCTCCACGTTTTACTGCAGGTACAGTTTTCTCTTCTTTGCATGTTTAGGTGACTATTTTCGCACTTAATTCAAATAAACTTTAATTTAAATTAAATCTTAATGAAAAAACAGGCAGATGAACTTCAAGGATTAATTTTTTTATTTCACCCAGATTATTTTTGTCCAGTGATGGGTTCAAATATTGAATGTGATTTTCAGCTTAATCTTGAACTGAAAAAAAAAAAAATAAATAAATAAACAACAACAGAGAGCTGTCTGTAACCTTTTCCAGATTCAACAGTTTCGGTAGAGAAACGTTTGTAAAGCATGTAAACTTGCTCAAACCAGTTAAACAGGGAAGAATCAAGATGCGATCGCTTCAAGGCAGCTGCACAAACATTTTTAAAATGACAGAACAATGACACCAACTACAGTTAGGTCCATATATATTTGAACAGAGACAACATTTTTCTAATTTTGGTTCTAGACATTACCACAATGAATTTTAAACAAAATAATTCAGATGCAGTTGAAGTTCAGACTTTCAGCTTTAATTCAGTGGGTTGAACAAAATGATTGCATAAAAATGTGAGCATCTTTTAAACACAATCCCTTCATTTCAGAGGCTCAAAAGTAATTGGACAGATTAAATAATAGTAAATAAAATGTTCATTTCTAGTACTTGGTTGAAAACCCTTTGTTGGCAATGACTGCCAGGAGTCTTGAACTCATGGACATCACCAGATGCTCTGTTTCCTCCTTTTTAGTGCTCTGACAGGCCTTCACTGCAGCGGTTTTCAGTTGCTGTTTGTTTGTGGGCCTTTCTGTCTGAAGTTTAGTCTTTAACAAGTGAAATGGTTGAGATCAGGTGACTGACTTGGCCATTCAAGAATATTCCACTTCTTTGTTTTAATAAACTCCTGGGTTACTTTGGCTTTATGTTTTGGGTCAKTGCCCATCTGTAGTATGAAACGACGACCAATCAGTTTGATTGCATTTGGCTGGATCTGAGCACAAAGTATGGCTCTGAATACCTCAGAATTCATTGGGCTGCTTCTGTCCTGTGTCACATCATCAATAAACACCAGTGACCCAGTGCCACTGGCAGCCATGCATGCCCAAGCCATCACACTGCTCTGCTGTGTTTTACAGATGATGTGGTGCTTTGAATCATGAGCTGTACCATGCCTTCACCAGACTTTTCTCTTTCCATCATTCTGGTAGAGGTTGATCTTGGTTTCATCTGTCCAAAGAGTGTTCTTCCAGAACTGTGCTGCTTTTTAAAATGTTTTTTTTTTAGCAAAGTCCAGTCTAGCATTTTTATTCTTGATGCTTATGAGTGTCTTGCAGCGTGCAGTGAACCCTCTGTATTTACTTTCACGCAGTCTTCTCTTTATGGTAGATTCAGATATTTATACCTCCTGGAGAGAGTTGTTCACTTGGTTGGCTGTTGTGAAGGGGTTTCTCTTCACCATGGAGATTATTCTGTGATCATCCACCACTGTTGTCTTCCGTGTGCATCCAGGTCTTTTTGCATTGATGAGTTCACCAGTGCTTTCTTTCTTTCTCAGGATSTACCAAACTGTAGATTTTGCCACTCCTAATATTGTAGCAATATCTCAGATGGGTTTTTTCTGTTTTTGGAGCTTAAGGATGGCTTGTTTCACCTGCATGGAGAGCTCCTTTGACCACATGTTTACTTCACAGCAAAACCTTACAAATGCAAGCACCACACCTCAAATCAACTCCAGATCTTTTATCTGCTTCATTGACAATGACATAATGAAGGGATTGCCCATACCTGTCCAAGAAATAGTCTTGGAGTCAATTGTCCAATTACTTTTGGTCCCTTKAAAAACAGGGTGGCACATGTTAAGGAGCTGAAACTCCTAAACCCTTCATCCARTTTTAATGTGGATACCCTCAAATGAAAGCTGAATGCTGGACTTTATGTCCTTGTACATTATATAACTATAACTTGAATATGTTTCAGTAAACAGGTAAAAAGACAAAATTTGTGTCCAAATATATATGGACCTAACTGTATCCATGTGGGTCTGATGAAGGCAAATAACGGGGCTTTATTGTCATATTAGACCACTAACAGAAAAACCTATCCTACTCTTATTTTGGATCTTTTTTTTTACTCAGTAAATATAGTTTTCTAGTTTGTTGACTTATTTTACTTCATTATATAACATACATGACAATACATTTTAAAAAGCCTTCTAAGTGACAAACTTATACATTTAAAAAGCAGACAAAGGTTTTTATTTCACACAACTTTGATTTAATCTTTTTGAATGATTTGACTTTTTGTTGTCATTTCTTTATGTTCTGATAAATTTCACATAAGTGCTTTTTTATGAAGACTTCAGATAATGTCCTGCCATTAAATTGTTGAAGCCACACCRAGTTCTGAGAGGTCATCTGCTCTGGATAAAATAAATCTGTGCRCCTTTAAACATGTCATGCAAAATAATAATAATAATAATTAAAATAAAAAGAGAGAAATTGTGCAATGGAGTATTTTATTAGAGTTGCAATACCATTATAGATTAAACAACATCACAAAATATCAATTTAGTGATTTCATCATTTCTTATGTAACACTATGGTTTCTTTCATTTCTTGCCATGTCCATGTCCATGACCTTCTTTGTCACCATGACCTTGTCCCTTTCCCTCTCCGTGTCCATGTCCCTTTCCCTCTCCGTGTCCATGTCCATGTCCCTTTCCTTCTCCGTGTCCATGTCCGTCCTTCTTTCCTTTGCACTTTAATCAGTCACAAAAAAAATGACACAATATTTTAGTGAGGAGAAACAATCTTAACTGGAGATTATATTACAAAAATACAACATGAACCAGAAAAGCAGCCAAAAACAAATAAGAAGCGTAAAAGATGTACTTACTTCCTGAGCATCCCCTGCTGCAGGCTTCACCAAATATAAGAACACAAAATCATAAGTACAAATATTTAAATTTTTTGTGTTAAACACCAGATTGAAAAAATAAAAAATGACTCACAGTTGTTGCATGAGCTGTGGAAAAGGTAGAGAAAAACAGACAGAATGGTAAAAAAATGGTTTTTAATTATCACAAAAACAAACACAAAATCTTTTGTTGATCTGCACAAACATTCTCAATGAATAGCTGCACAATAACAATTTGAGTCAGCATAAGATAAAATACAGTGAGTAGCAGAAGTGTGTGCGTAAATCAGTCAGTTTACAACAAAGACACTTACGATCACTCATTTTGTCTTGTTGGTGAGATCAAAACAAAGGGTTTTCCTGAAAAAAAAAAAAAACAACAACCAACAAATAGAAATTAAAAACTTTAGACTCTCTGCACTCGTTTTAAATGATAAACCAACACGTACCTGACTCAGAAGGAGAATGATTTGCTTCCTATGCTTGTGCTGCCTCTGTATTTATGAGGTYGGTGTGTAAAAATGTGGGTGTGTGTGTGAAGCTCTGCCCTCTTGTCGTCCAACGTGACTGTTGGAAAGCAGCAGAACAGGTAAGATTTGAGAGTGGCAGAGAAAGACAGGGGCGTTTTCTTCTGTCAACATTAATGACAGCTCCGTGTRATTTAGGAGCATCACGGAGGCTCCAGGGCAGGGCGGGTCTTTTCTTCACTTTAACAAATAAAGTTATTGGTGAGACAGACATCTCTGCATGCGGAGAGGCTGCAGCTGTAGAATGATAGTTTTCCTTTACAATTACACACTGTTGGGTTATTTGGTCATAAAAAATAGAATTTTATAAGCTGAGATTTGGACAAGTAGCAACCCGTTCCCAGTTTGATGGAAGGTACAAGGTTTGTCTCTTGAAAAAAATAAATAAATAAGAAAATAATGTGGGAAATTTTCCTTAAAGTTTGTCTTCAAGTGTTAAAAAAATATCATACCTCAAATGATTGTGAAACAGTTTTAAAAGAAACAAAAGAGCTCTGAAATTTTCCTTAAAGTTTGTTTTTCTTCAAGTGTTAAAAAAATCATACCTCAAATGATTGTGAAACAGTTTTAAAAGAAACAAAAGAGCTCTCAGTATCTGTGCAACAGCAAATGCAAAAAAATCACGACTGCGACGACCTTTAAAAGAACAAAATTTATTTAAACCCRTACAAAGGACAGATTATTAAAAGGACTACATGTGAGCTTTTCATGGGTTTTTTTAGGACAAGGACCTCAAAAGGTTTGTAAAAATGAAGTCATGTGAAAAGTCTGCTGTACAAGAGAGTCTGGATGATAGGGGTGGGCGATTCTTGGGATTTTGCTAACGATATGATTCCAAGTAAATACAAAGCTACAACAAAGATACTTGTCATGTTCATGAACAATTTTGTGATTTTTGCCTTTACTTAGTTGATTATATTAAGAGCAAAATTTTTTTAGACAAATAAAAATGCTTTTTATCAACCAGCTACAACAAAATAAAAGAACACAATATAAAAAATAAAATAATTCCTCTATTACTTTCTACACAGTTTAAGAAAAAACATGCAAAATAACAAAAAAGAAGCAACATTATATAAGATATAAGTATAACAGTGTCAACAACGCAATAAAAAAAACCWTCCATGATGAAGAGCACTAATGACAAACTCCAAATGATTTGGAGATTGAACAAATTACTTTATTTTCACTTTATTTGTCAAAAATAAAGTCAGTGTGGTGCAAATAAAGTGTAAATAAGAACTGATCTCGTCACGCTATTGATTCGATACAAATACTCGTCTTGGTRTTGATAGTATCAATAATTAGATAGATACACCCACCTCTACTGGATAGGCTTTTTTTAATTAAATATGAAATGAGGTTAAATATGTCTGAATGCAAAATAAAAAATCCCATTGAGGTGAAAGACAATAAAATCAACCCAAACTCATCTTCCTAACTTTCTCTCSCTCTTCTAATACTCCTTCATACAGCCTCACTCTTCCACCTGCCTCTGTTTCATTTATCAGCACAGCTGACTTTCTTCCCTCCACCTCTCCAGGCTCTCTTCCACCTGCTCCCTACTCTGGCCACAGATCACTGAGTCGTCCGCAAACAGTTTGGCTTTCAGGGACTTGTCAGATTTCATGTGTTAAACTGTCTGTCACCACTTGAAAATCAGAAAGAGCTGAGTCATGTTTCAGCCTCGCCTCCGGCTTGTACCCTACACATCGGTCCTCGCATCCTGCACCACCCTCCCTTACTCATACAATGCGACTGAGTGACTGAAGTCTGAAAATTTGACATTTTTGTTGGAGATTGTATGTAAATATTAGGTTCTCTGAACAAAATGGATTATTTGTCAATATTGGTTAGCTTGTTGATCATTGCTTCTTCTTCAGTTGTACTCTGATGGCAGATTTTTATCCTTCCTCCCAGCTAGACTCTACAACCAGCACTGCTCCCAACAAACTTAATAAGAATCCATGCTTGTGTTTGCACAATAACCAACTCTGTTTCTCAGTCATTACATAAATAACACTCTTGTGGCTATTGTACATCTATTTTTCTGTACTGAAATACTGCACTGTAAATATCCTAGTCTTTATATTCATCATGCACATTATGCACATTGCAAGAAATTACTTAATTTGACTCAGTTGCACATCCCCTTGGATCATGAGTCTGTCATGACTGTTTGTAATTTTTCTACACAGTAATTTATTTTTATCTTTATTGCCTTGTACAGTATTTTTATTTTTTAAATTCTATTATTATTGCTACTATTATTGTTGCACAGCACTATGATGTTTTGTGAACTGATGTATCTGCTGCTGCTGTTTCACCTGAATTTCCCTTCTGCAGGACAATAAAAGCTGTTTCTATTCTATTCTATTCTATTCTATTCTATTCTATTCTATTTGGTTTTCTGTCACTTTGATTTCCTGCTGCTGCAGGGCTTGTGGTTTTGTTTAATGAGTATTTACTTTCTTGAATTTTGAGAATATATATTGGCTAATCTGCTCTTTCACTGTATTTTGAGCGTATTTTTTTGAGTGATCATTAGTTCATACATTTTAAGAAGCACATACCTTGTTGCTGTTAACAGTAATTACAGGTAAACGCTCAGGATACACCTGTCACTGTCGTCAAGGCTTTCACACAAAAGGAGATCTGAAAGATGGTGATCATGTGACCGAAGAAAAGCGCCTGCAGAAAAACAGACATTTTTTTGACACACCCAAACCATTATGACCAGAAACACCCAACCTTTGTTTTCTGAAGAGCCAAAGATCTTTGAATCTTTTTTACAAGTTAATTCGTCATTTGTTCGTGTGTGTTGCAATTATCACTGATGGTWACGAAGCTGTTATGAGTTGCATCCTTCAACGGCTGGTTGCCATGCATGAATATAATTATAAAACTTAAAATCAGTCTGATTGAAAAGTTGTCGTTTTTGAAATGTGGATGAATTTAGTTTTGAATCAAAAACAAAATCCAGAGTTGAGGTCAGGGAGCAGAACGTCTCACAGGCTTCCAGTCGTCTTCTTCAAACTTCTAACTAAATTAAGACAAAAGTTCAGCTGAAACAGGAAGATGTTGACCCAAAAGAGTCGACCTCGTTGTTCCATTCTCTTCGTGCTTTTGTGAGTTTTCTCTGGGTACTCCGGCTTTCCACACAGACCAAAACAGGTTGCCTTCAAGCCCAGGCCTCCCTTAAAAGGGATTTGCTTGGTTAAGTAACGGCAAAATAAAAAAAAAGAATGAAAAAACAAAACAAGTTTGTAGATAATTGTGCTGTGATTTTAACAATAAAGTGTTTACAGTGTGGAATTCCACAAGGTTTTGTTCTTGGAACAATACTTTTTTACATTATGTATACAGACAAAACTGAATTTGAGTTGGCTTTAGGCCTCAGATATTTTTGAAAGTTGTTTTTAAACAAGTTATGTCCTTTATTTACAAAAAAGAACAAGACTGCATTTTCTCTCATGTGTGTAATATAATCTCCTGCCAACTTTAAGAGCATCCTTCCTGTCCCTTGAAAAACCAGTCTAGGCGTTTGTTGTTTTTAGGCTGTGTTGTTTTTAAGACATGTTCATGGTTTTCAAAAGACCTATAATCCAAAATCACTGCTGCAGGAGCTCTGATCCTGCAGGAGATCATTTCTCTGTCTGCAGAAACAATTCTTATATTTATGTTAGAGGGGCAAACACYACTCTGGAATACATGGAACAATAAAACCTGCTCCCAGAACATCTCAGAATTGCTGCAGGTTCAGGTGACTGAATCGGATGCCATGGACTCCGGCTGCATGAGGGAACTCCCATGTTCCCGCTGAACCCTCCTCTTTTTATCCCTTTGTCACTGCACGTGCTGCATCTTGCAAAATGTGTTTCTTCTGCCAACTTGTAATTTATTTGACACTTTGTGGGCGTGTTCATTTTTAAAATTGAGTGCCAGATGTGGTAACTTTCCTGCATACGATGCATTTATCGGACCTATGGGAAGAATTTCAACTAAAGCCAGAATTGTCCTTATTTAATTTGATGTGCTTTTCTGAAATTACTATTTGTTCTATCTATTTGTTTTAATAAAAACACTGAGAGTACATTCAGATTTTGATATGTGCACTTGCAACCATAGAGAGCCCTCTAGTGGTTAATAAATTAAATGCACGTGCCACACTTTTTTGTTTGCGTCACAACTGCTGTTATTGACTTGCTTTTTTGTATCACATGTTTTAAACAAACCGTGTTCGCAGTATTTAAATCAAACAGTGCAATTAGTCAACATTTTAAATTTACAACTCATTTCTTATAAAATGAGCTCGTGCCTCAGTTCGAGGTGTTTTGGCGCCATTTTGTGGACAAAAGCTCACATTGCTGTTTGCAGCTGTTAGCTTGATTCTACTGAGACCAGAAGGTTGTTTGGTAAGTAGTTTATTTTATACTTTTATTTGTATTTTTAACTGTTTTTTTAATCTAACTATATGCTTGCTATATGATGGAAGATAATTTGGTGAACAAATATGCAATTTTTCCACAATTAAACTAACAAATTCTTAGATTTTTGAGAATTAGCAAACTGCAGAGAATGCTTAGCTTGTGTCAGATAATTAAAAAATAAGCTTTTCAAGAAAAATTAAGAACAAAAGAGCTACAGTAAGATGAAAAATATGAACAAAAATGTTAAAAAGTACAACAAAAGTGACTTATGCTAAATATTCAATGCAAAACAGTCTAAAAGAGGCATCGAATGACTGAACCAATGATGTGATCCAAGCAGCGTTGCCAGATGGGAAATGTTGAATTATCGTATCAGCARCTCAAAATTATCGAATTTTGAGAAAAATTATCGTACACACCCAAGTTACATTCTAGAGAGGCTCAAATTTACAAATACATCCTGCTCAGCTCACAATGTG